ACGAAATACGACGAGAATACTGTTTGGATTAGATAATCAGACATTTAGAATAGTCTGATTGAATATATCTGACGTACCGGTACTAACACAGACCGAGTTCGTCTTGTGTTGATTTATTATTGATATTGTGATCAACGTTTGGATCACTTTTAAGTAATTAGTTTATTGTTATACGATTAAGAGTAATATTGTCCCTTAGAATTAGTTATCAAATTATTTCGATCATCCCTTAAATCATCAATCCGACCTTTATATAATACACGATCCATATATATATGGTGCCGGAAATCTATAATCGCCAATCATGTGATTAAAAAATTGGACATTTTCAAATCGCTAAAACTTTTTACACAAGCAATATTTCAAAAAACTGACCGGTACTCTCGTAGAACTGATTATAAAGAACAAAGTTACCAGTCAATTTTCTGAAATGCTGCTTATATAAAAAATTTTAGCGATTTGAAGTTTCTAAGTTTTATGATATTGAAACAAGTCATGTGAGTATTTCTTAACATTTGATTGGCCGATAAACATTAGTTCGAATAGTTGAAAATTTTAATGTCAACTATTTCTCATTAATATAGCAACAGCTCTTTTATTATTTGCTCAGAGAGTATTAGATTATATGTAGGGTTTATTAATTAAGGCATTTTATTATTCTTTTGATTGTATCATCGCTTTACTTCATAAAGGTCTTTGTTGAAAGACTATTGACATTTAAAATATGTTGTTAAGATGGTATATAAATCTGACGAATGGCTTAAAGTGTGTTATAATGAAGAGATTTGTAAAATTAATTGTACTGAAAGCTATAAGTAAATGTCGAAAGGGTCTAAATTGGTCTTAAACTTATTTACACTGTATCAGACTTTTATTATATCAAAAGTCATTATATTGAGAGAGTAAAAAGCTTATTGGTAAAATTTAAATTTTATTAAACAAGAGATAAATGGGTCATATTTTATTATGACTATTCGAGAATTTTTATTACAAGTAGATCGCTACTCATAGTTTTGTCGCATAAAACGTTACATAATTTGATCAAAGTTGATTTTACTTAAAATATTAATATAATCAACATAAGGTAAAGTGGGGCGATACACAGATCAGAATAGAAAAATTTTAGTACCATTTGATTCGTTTTACTGAGACGAATCAAATGGTGCCAAATTCATTTTATTTGAAGCACAATATAATCAAAAAACATAAATTTGTTAATATTTTCCGATCCCAACAAATTTGACCCGATGTAAAATCTGATGGTCGCTCAAGACGACTTTTATATTTGCATATCAAACATAGTAGTAGTTGATCGTTAAGATTCTTAATGATCAACTTAATTATACTTAATTGCAGTTGATCGTTAAGAACAATCAACTTAATTAGACTTGGTAATAGTTGATCGTTAAGATTCTTAATGATCAATTTAATAAATACTAACCAATCCGCTATTTATCTTTAGATGCTCAAGAAAAAAAACTTATTTAATTTCTTATTGAAAATCTAACATCAAGAAGATAAAGATTAATTCTATACAAATTAGACACCTCGTTTCCAAGCGAATCGTGACAATCTTGATAAAATTTTTGAAAACTAGAACTAAATTCTTCAATTTTAAAAAATAGCTCAGCAAATTTGCACATTTCCAACCCCTTCATAGTAAATTGATACTTATTTCCTTCATCAAAACCATTATCACCTACGGCTTTATTGAATTTTCTATTCATTAAAAGTATATAATCCATCTTCGCTAGATATTCAAAATAATAAATAACTTCACCAAAAAAAATAATAAAATCTTTGATTCGATTATATTGGCTAATGTGAGCGAAATGATCGTTGATTGATTCAACAACTGCATCCGTTATGATGAGACCTAAAAAATATTGTATGGTGTCTCTCAACCTCTCATAAAGAAACGGAAGCACATAGTGCATACGTTCTTTAAACTCAGCTGTGTTATAAATATTTTGTATTAAGTTATTGCAAAGGTTTAGGATCGGATCATTTGAATCTTCACCTTGTAAATCGAAATGGTATCACATATTTAATGTATAACTTATTACAAATTTTTTGTTTTGAAAAGAGCTTTTAATGAAAGTATAAAATTTATTCGATTTATATTAAAGAAACATCGTTTGTTTAAAATTGCAAATTTGGTTAACAATCGATACAATTTGCTAACCTTACAAGTTTATTAGATTTAACTTTAAATTTCGCGATTCTATTCATTATGATCATGTTTCAAAAATTACAATCGCATAGAACAAAAACAATCAAGGTCGTGACTGCAGACAATCGCGACCATGATCGTGATTGCAGACAATCGCGACCATGATCGTGATTGCAGACAATGGGTAGATAGCTACATATTAAATTAATAAGCTTTTCAGATTTTTTTTTGTTTGTCTTTTGTTATAATTGTTTTCGTGATCTACTTATATAGTTGAATTTTTAGATGAAAATATAAAATGAGATTCAAATAACCTGAATAAAAAGTCTGAATAAAAAAAATCATTAAAGTTAGTATTAATTACTATTAAAATCGTTCATTAACTATTATCATAAAATGCCACGTCCTAATAAAAGAAAACAGCAAATAAGTGC